GGGGTTCGATCCCCGGCCGCGTCATACCAAAAGACGTTAAAAGATGGTACTTGTTGTTACCCTGTCTGGCGCTCGGTTGCAACAAGGACTGGTCGGCTCGTGTTCAGTATACTGTGTCTGAGTGGGATATTCATGTTAAGCTGCGGCATGGTATCTCAGTGAGCTAGCACTATAAATCGGCATCAGTCCGGACTAATCTATGTACCTAATTATCAGATGTCCTTTTCAGTAATTTTGCTTTGCCTAAAATGACATAGGATGATATGAGGTACATCGTAAATCTCGCGAGGTTTGATACATTACTAAATCACCATTCACGGCGTTATTTACAGCGTGTGTAGAAATCTAAATATTACATATTTAGTCGAAGGATTGGATTTCAAAACTAGCATATTGGTGATTACGGGTATCTTTTTTTCATCAAAACACTAATGATAAAATCTGAAACGTTGCCGATAAGCCTAGAATCGTTTAGAATGTTTTGGAAAATGGTCAAAATACGCAAACACGAAGGCCGAAGTGTACGTTCCATCATACTGGATGGTGTTTACAAAATCACGTTTCACGTATGCGGTTATAAAAGACGCCTATTAGATCACGTATATTTCAAACTCAGCTGCGATACATGCATCCCTGAATTCCTCATACATTTTAGAATCAAATGACAAATGATCTTTGTCACCACTGCAAAATATTTAGATGAAATCACGCGAAATAAATTAGGTGTGGAAACGAACACTATGCTGGGTAAATTGTACTTGTTGAAATGTAAACAAAGCAAAATTCAGATTTTACACTGTGTAGTATTTTCTCCTATTGGAGAGATCCATTCTTCTAATATTGTTGTATACATTGGCTCCCACATTTGAGACTACTTACTTACTTATATTGGAGATTTGTCGCACACGGAGACTACTTGTATGGTCACATTATTTATGAATAGTTAACAGTACATCGGATGACGTCACTCATGACCGTGGTGTTATGAAATAATGCGCCACTGCGATCATAAGAATAGACAAAATACTTCGATTCGATACTAAAAAGGTGCGATTTTAGGGTCTGTAAGAAAAAGATTACTGACCTCGTGCCTGTCAGATAGCATTTATGTTACAACTCGTGTAATCTCTATATACACAACGGATATGTTGTAATCGTTAATCCCGAATCAAAGAGGATGTACAGACAATGAGATGCACTTTCATCCTATTTATTTCTCCTTGTTGCTGAAATATTAAAAAAATATATAAGGGACAATACCGAAATCAATACAGCTCAATGTGAAGGACCACAAACAATGACATTATGCAGATGATACACAACTATTTATTGATGGAACAGGCTTAATGAAGCTTTTGATACACTTAAAAACTTTCTTAGATCATCAGTGTTCAAATTAATTGTAGATAAAATAAAGGCAATGTGAATATTTTTCTGTGACAGGTAACATTTTTCATAGGAATTCCGAAGTCACACATACTTAAGTGACAAATTAAAAGTATTTTCCACATCACTAGTTGTCACTGCCATCAACATTATACTGTAGACAATATTGGATTTTTCAACTGATTTTACATATCCTATTTCAGATTTTAAAAAATATATACTTCCTTGTCAGGAGGGGTGAACATACCCAAAACATTTGAAAATGTTAAGTCAAATAATCTGGCATTGGCTTTACAAACAGATTCACTCACCATGGTTACAATGTTGCGGATACATTTCAGTAAAAACGTTCAGTTCAGATGAAGTCTCGTGCATATGAGTGTGCAAAGTGTACCTGTTTACATGCCTTCAGTGCTTTCCTGCATATAGTGCTGGATCATATATGCTACACAGAAACATGCTTTGAATAAAATTTGAAAAATAAGACACTTGTCTGGGAAACTAGAGGCTACAATAAATTTGTTGTTGTTTACATATGGATGATTCCATCACCAATTGGATTTGTTTGTTTGAATGTATGTTGTTTAACGCCGCACTCAGCAATATTCCAGCTAAATGACGGCGGTCTGTAAAACAATCGAGTCTAGTGATTGACATCATGAGCATCGATCTCCGCAATTTGGATACGACATGCATCAATCAGGTCAGCGAGTCTGACCACCCTATCCCGTCAGTCGCCTCTTACGTCAAGCATCGTCGCCTTTTATGGCAAAAATTGGTTGCTGAAGACCTATTCTAGCCCGGATCTTCACTGGTCTCACCAACTAGAGGTAATCGGCAGTTGGTTTGCTGTGCGCTCAACCAAATATGTTGTAACAAGCTGTCTGACACATAGGAGGTTACCAACATAATACATATACATTACCCCATGTGAGAACATTATCGGATTTGACCTCGGTTACATGCCTCGCAGAAGTGGCTTTAGGTATTTCACCTCACATTCACGGAGGTACTTGTACTTATCTCCCGCCTGGCAGTTGAGATTTAGAAGTGTTTTGTTGATAATGCAGATTTGCCACTGATGTTGATTCGCTGCTAATTGAGGCGAGTGCTATTAATTGCCAGTGATACTGATTGCGTTTTTAGTTCGCTATACAGGTCATTAATTATTACCGGTAGCTAGCGACCAGATATCGCCGAGGATCAATTATCGCCAGCACCCCGTTATAGTGCGCACGTGATTGCATCTCGTTTTGCATTTGTTCGTTTTCATTAGACGAGAGAAATATTTATCCGAAGATGATAAACAAAACTGACACTTGTTACATTAATGCAGTTGATACATACGTCCATTGCATTCACCAGCTGATTTGGTGTAAGTAAAATTTTATTCCAATATAAAATCATTCTAGGTTTTATAATGTGTGGTGGGCATATACGAAATACACCGCATACCATAAAGGTTGGGGTTTATTGCTTAACTCTAAGTATACGCCTGCAATATTTGAAATGAATTCTTTCTATCATAACTGGCTTTTCAAAGCCGCCCACTTCAGAGGCATATAATAATATTGGTTGAATGATGTGGTCAAACAAATTTAATTGAAAGTCAACGGACATTTCCAACTGTCGTATTTTTGTAAGAACAACAAAACATGGCTCTGGAGGCTTGCTCGCATAGGTGCTTGTGTGCCTTACAAAACAGACCATCACATAACACATTATCTTAAGTTTTAAAAAAATTGCAACAATCACCAAAAACATTTACTGATTTGTGAAGATCCTTATCTGTTTCTGCCATTACTACTGTATCATCTGCATATAATAATAATCTGAGAAGCTTTAGAAATATATGTAAATCATGCTGTGTTGGATCACTAACACATTTCATATCAATTACATCATTTTGTAAAGGGTACTGCTCAAGATCATTAAAAAAATACAACGCAAATAAGACCGATTTTCACTCAGTCTGCCAGTGATTTTGAAGTCAAAGAATGACGATATGTTTCCATAGCTAGACACACAAGATTTAATACTTTGACACATGTTAAATATAATTCTAAAACATTTTCCTTTGACATTACTTTCTATTATCATTGACCACAATCCACATCTCCATACAGTATCAAACCCTTTTTGAAAATCAACAAAAACCTGAAACAGTCTTTTCTTTTGGCTAGAACAAATACCGATGAGGGCTTTTATTACATGTTTATCTTTTGCTGAATACCCTTTCCTGAATCCGGCTTGGTTAACACCTAGACGATTAACATGATCAGAATACGACTGGAGGCGTGTACTGATTACAGAAGTGAAGAGCTTACCTAAATAGCTTACACGGGTTATGCCTCTGTAGCTTTCTGGTTCTTTTGGATTGCCTTTGTTTTTGTGAATAGTTATCGTGTTATCAGTAGATCATGATTCGGGTAAGACACCATTATGTAATGCATGGCTGACTAGTTGTACATACAATGGCAGTAAGAGATTAGCTGACGCTTTGATATACTCATTACAACTGAAGAAATGCGTGTGGTGTCACGTGACTTCCTCGCGTAAACAGAAATTCAACAACATGACGATGCACGTTTAGTTGTGTCGCTTGTCACCACTTGTCTGTCATGTATTCCTGGTCTTACTTATATTTACTTTTCTGATAGTTTTGGTATTCGTTATGACTTTGGTTTTGATTCCATGTAATTATCACAGTTTAGTAATATTCTATAGTTTCCGTCCTTTACTTAAAATGTCTATCGTTTAATTAAAACTACTGTCTTATTATAAATACATTAAACATCGTTAACACATGCACCATTGTATAATAATAAATATAAATGTATCTCATGTATATATGTATACGCGTACATGTGTTTGCGTGTATGTGTCCATGTAGGTAGATGTTATGTGTGTAATACTGTTTATATGTACGTCTGTATTATACCCTGTACATTTTTCTATTATTATTCACATATTACAATATAATGAAATGTAAGTAGGAGAAGGCATCGTAAGTCTGTCACTTGTGCCTAATCCATTTGACTTTTATTTGACATTATCTTCCCAAAATACAATTTGAAGATATCAAAACCCCCTTTGTTATTAATTTTAATGACTAAAATAACTGGGTGCGACAACAGAGACACTAAAAAAACGAACCGAAGCAGGGTGCGTGTTATGGCGATAACTGGTACAGTTAGTTGACGGGACAGTTCTATTTCCAGTGTTTTGGTTCCCGCTAGACGCGTTATAACAAAAACCTACTCTAACGTTTTTCGCTTTGTGGAACGGGGCCCTGGCGTCAATCGAATAAAAGTATCAGTAGCACGATGTACTTACATGTAAATATCTCACGAGTGGAAGTCATGTCATGACTATTCCTATGACATACATTGTGTAGGATATCGACCAGACGGCATCGAACACCTATTTTTAAAGCTATATATAGAGCTAGCCAAACACATACTGGGGCAGGGTGACACCTGTCTCTACACATTAGCATCGAAGCTTATCATCCTACACTCATCCACGGACATACCCACATACAAACTACAGGACACACACACATACACACACACACACACACACTTGAACCTGCGACACGAAACACCCCTTACCTTTCTTTTTCCTCTTCTCCTTGCCGCCACCTAGCCTGCTGGGACATAGGAACGCCATGACAGTCTCTCTGTTTGTCGGCCCTCTATGTTATATCTGTGTCCGCCGCGGAGCCCACTGAACCAGTAGCTGTCAACGACGGACTACTAACGCCTCCATTGTGTCACCATGCTTCCCATAAGCTTGCGTGCACACACCAAAGACATGGGCTTGCACTCGTTGATCGAGTGATCAACAACCTTCGGTAATAATGGCCGCTACTGCGAGAAAAGGCAGATCTGACTGAAACATCTAAGATTTTCACTGCAGATCTCGCATGTCAACTGATTTATGAAGGTGGCTCTGCCATGTGAGAGAGTGTTAGAGCGAGTTAGAGAGCGTTTTCGACAAACGTGTATATCACGAGAAACGCTTGGTAATAGTATACATTAACCTTCCTTTTCTTAAAGCAAGAAGACAACAAAGGCAAAAAAGTACACAGTGTACGTCGCGTTTATTACTACAATCCACATTGAAACACTCTAATGTTCACATACAACTACTGTAATTTTCACATTAAACCACTGTAATGGTCACATTGAACCACTGTAATGTTCACATTCAACCACTGTAATGTTCACATTCAACCACTGTAATGGTCACACTGAACCACTGTAATGATCACACTGAACCACGCTAATGACAACATTGAACCACTGTAATGATCACTTTGAACCACTGTAATGTTCACATTGAACCACTGTAATGTTCACATTAACTAGTGTAATGTTCACACTGAACCACTGTAATTGTCACATTGAACCACTGCAATGTTCACACTGAACCACGGTAATGACAACATTGAACCACTGTACTGATCAAATTGAACCGCTGTCATGTCCTCACTGAACCACTGTAATGTTCACATTGAACCACTGTAATGATCACAATGAACCGCTCTCATGTTCACACTTAACCACTGTAATGGTCACACTCAACCACTGTAATGGTCACACTGAACCACTGTAATGTTCACACTGAACCACTGTCAAGTTCACATTGAACCGCTCACATGTTCACACTGAACCACTGTAATGTTCACACTGAACCACTGTCAAGTTCACCCTGAACCACGGTAATGTTAACATTGAACCACCGTAATGTTCACTATGAACCACTGTAATGATCACATTGAACCGCTGTCATGTTCACACTGAACCACTGTAATGTTCACACTGAACCATGGTAATGGTCAAATTGAACCACTGTAATGTTCACATTGAACCGCTGCACAGTTCACATTCAACTAGTGTAATAACGTTCACATTGAAACATTGTAATGTTCACATTGAAAAACTGTAATTATCACATTGAACCACTGTAATGGTTACATTGAACCACTGTAAGGGTCACATTGAACCACTGTAATAGTCACATTGAACCACTGTAATGTTCTTATTGAACCACGGTAATGATCACATTTACCGCTGTCATGTTCACACTGAACCACTGTAATCTTCTTATTGAACCACGGTAATGATCACATTTAACCGCTGTCATGTTCACACTGAACCACTGTAATGTTCTTATTGAACCACTGTAATGGTCACATTGAACAACTGTAATAGTCACATTGAAACACTGTAATGTTCTTATTGAACCACCGTAATGTTCACACTGAACCACTGTAATGTTAACATTGAACCACCGTAATTATCACATTGAACCACTGTAATGGTTACATTGAACCACTGTAAGGGTCACATTGAACCACTGTAATAGTCACATTGAACCACTGTAATGATCACATTTACCGCTGTCATGTTCACACTGAACCACTGTAATCTTCTTATTGAACCACGGTAATGATCACATTTAACCGCTGTCATGTTCACACTGAACCCCCGTAATGTTCACTATTAACCACTGTAATGTTCACATTGAACCACTGTCATGTTCACACTGAACCACTGTAATGATCACATTGAACCAGGGTAATGTTCACACTGAACCACGGTAATGTTAACATTGAACCACTGTAATGTTCACACTGAACCACTGTAATGTTAACATTGAACCACCGTAATGTTCACTATGAACCACGGTAATGTTAACATTGAACCACTGTAATGTTCACACTGAACCACTGTAATGTTAACATTGAACCACCGTAATGTTCACTATGAACCACCGTAATGTTCACTATGAACCACTGTAATGTTCACATTGAACCACTGTCATGTTCACACTGAACCACTGTAATGATCACATTGAACCAGGGTAATGTTCACACTGAACCACGGTAATGTTAACATTGAACCACTGTAATGTTCACACTGAACCACTGTAATGTTAACATTGAACCACCGTAATGTCCACTATGAACCACTGTAATGTTCACATTGAACCACTGTCATGTTCACACGGAACCATTGTCATGTTCACACGGAACCACTGTAATGATCACATTGAACCACGGTGATGTTCACGTTGAACCACTGTAATGGTCAAATTGAACCGCTGTAATGTTAACACTGAACCACGGTAATGTTAACATTGAACCACTGTAATGTTCACACTGAACCACTGTAACGTTAACATTGAACCACCGTAATGTTCACTATGAACCACTGTAATGTTCACATTGAACCACTGTCATGTTCACACGGAACCACTGTAATGGTCACATTGAACCACTGTAATGTTCACATTGAACCACTGTAATGTTCACATTGAACAACTGTTATCTTCACATTGAAAAACCGTAATTGTCACATTGAACAACTGTAATGGTTACATTGAACCACTGTAATGGTCACGTTGAACTACTGTAATAGTCACATTGAACCACTGTAATGGTCACATTGAACCACTGTAATGGTCACATTGAACAACTGAGTAGTATAGATGATGGGGGTTCTGGACCACTTCCACTGGAGCCAGATTTATATACCTATACCACCACTACAGGCGGAATTTTTTATGTGTAAATGCTAATGCGATTCAACGATAGTCATGATTCGTATTAAAAGAAACATCAATATTAATTAATAATGAATAACATTTACTATAGCCCACGAGGATAGTGGAAAGGTATAGGAGCAATAACAAAATTAGCCACCAGGATTGGTTAAAGGAACAAGCGATGTGGCAAATATACTTACCGGCACCGCGTTATATACCGAGGAAGAAGTTTGATATTTTTACAATGAATGAAGTTCATCAGGCTGACCTCTTGTTTCTTCCCCACAATAAGGTAAGACGCAAAACGTATAAATACGCTTTAACCGTAGGGGATGTGGCTAGTCGATACAAAGAGGCTGAACCATTAACCTCGAAAGATTCAACAGAAGTAGCTAATGCACTGACTCGCATATATAAACGCGAACCACTAAAATGGCCTAAGCTATTTCAAGTAGATCCCGGTCGCGAGTTTATGGGATCAATAACTAAACTGTTAACAAAGCACGATGTCGAAATCAGGCGTGGTGAAAGAGAGGCCCACCGTAGTCAAGCTATCGTTGAAAGATTTAACCGGACATTAGTGGAACGTATGTTTGGCTATCAGTATGGGATCAAAATGAAATCGGAACGATTCAGATCAACCAAATTGGTGACACAATTATCAGCTGTTGTATCAGCGATGAATAATGAAGTAATGAGATTAATCGGGAAGAAACCATCCGATGCAATTAAAATGAAATCCGTGACTTCTGAATCTTCAGCACCTAGGAGAGGCAAAGAACAATAAACTTCCAGATAGAGTAAGCGTAAGATATTTATACCAGCCCGGTGAACTCGAAGGAGGCCAACGTCGCGCAACCGATCCGATTTGGTCCCTTAAGATATATAACATTAGTTAATTGGTTATGAAAGAAGAAGAGCCTATTCTTTATTATCTTAAAGATGGACCAGGCAGGGCATTTGTACGAGAAGAGTTGTTCATAGTTCCCTACGATACATTATTACCACCCTAAATAACCATAAGCATAGGTAGTTACACCATCCTTATCAATCCATCTCTTTGTATCTAAGGGGGATAATGATGTCTTGTTCATTCTTAATCCATATATCGTATGATTGTAACTTCTTAAAGAGTTCATCTCATGTTTGAATGTTCTACCGTTGAATAATGCTTCTTTATACTGTTTGTGTTTGATATGCTATTTTACCACATACTTCTTAAAACCCTTAGCTTTTCTTATCTCTCCATTATCGGACTCTTTATAGAATACATCTTAGGTCTTAATCCGACATACTCCTCTATAGGAGTCCCAGCACATTCATCCTTCATCTTACCTAACACCTTTTTATTTACTACGCTGTGCAGTGGATTATCTTTTGGGTAATCGCTCGTGTCGTACATATCTAATTTTTTTGCCATATCTTTATACACATCCTCGGTTTGTATTTACATCAACAAAGAATCTGTGTCCGTATATAACAACTCGCATCTATTGCCGTATTGATTCTTAAGTTCGTTGTAATAAAAGTCATACATTAAGTGTTTTGACAAGTCAAGAATACTCATACCAACGTACACCGGTCTGTTGAATTTTATATTAATCTTCTGCATATGCAACGCAGGTAAGTCGTTATCGAATTTCTTGCTTCTGTTAAAAGCCGGACTGGCTATAAGTTTCCTGAGTCTTTCTTCCTCATTAGATCTGACTAATTTAACATCAACACGCTTCCTTAGATTCTCCATAGTTTTACCAAATACTGAGTTATTCATGAGCTTATATAGGTTCTTTTCAAAATCGCTGGTAGCCATCTTTCTTAAATCTGTGTTCAGGCTTATATAGGGCTCCATCCAAGGGCTTTGATCAAACTTTAGAACTCTGTGTATTTTCTTTAGTTTCATACCTAACGATAGATATAACTGGAGATTTCTGTAGTGAACTATATATTTTGTCTTATCCATCAAATTTGGTACGAGTTTTTCTATGTTAGCTTACCTAGTATTACCCTTTAAGGAGTGTTGATATTCCGACATCCAATCTTTATTCACCATTAATCTTTCGGGAGCTAGCGGATAACTGTTATGGTCTTTATGTAACGAATTTGGATATTCCAAGTCAACTTCTAGTATGTACCCTTTATTTGCATCATTCACTTCGATATTATGGATATTATTCACTTCGATATCATCGACCCACTCAAAACCTCCCGTGGGTAAAGGTTGACTCATAGCCCATGCGTACAAATTGTTGGCGTCGAGACATAATATGTGTGTGTCGGGTTTACTCGGATCATATCCTTCCACTAATTTATTATTAGCCTTAGAATACCTTTTCGCTACAATCCATATACCACCTCTTAATCCTTCCTCAATAAACAAGTGCATATTGTAATCGGTGAGTAGTTTTAGTTCTACACCGGTCTTCTTCAA